GGCACCCAAACTCATACTGCATGCTAGGAATGGCACTTCTCTAGATGAAAAACAGAAAACAATTCCTTGAGCAGCACAGCTTGAGCTTCATTTGCGCTCATAAGTAGTTACACCAGTATCAAAGACACAGGAGGAAGGTTGATGCCTTAGAAGTTTACTTCATCATCATCTGCGTGAAATTAAGGTAAGCAGTAGTAGAAACTCAGAAGACTAGGTTGGCATGTATAGAAATACAGGAGAGCTCCAGATCTTTGTTTCAACTCTGAAAGCACAGAAACAGAACCACATGTACCTTACTCAGCCGAGCACTCAGCCACCACTGTTGGCGCAAGCCAGTCAGCTAAACACAGCTAGTCCCTCAGGCTATGACTTTTCCACAGTTGTCTCCTTTGGTTTGTTTTGGTATTGTTTTTTTTTTTTTTTTTTTTAATATTATAATTTTTATTTTTTATTGTTTAAATGAAGGCCACCCCAATTTGCAGCAGAGAAGTTCAGAATGGTACAAGAGCTATCAGCAGCATCGGGGGCACATGGTGCCCACTCATCCTAGGGCACCCAAACCCTGAACTGCTCAAGGAGCCACAAGTATCTGCTAGCTGACTTACATTGCTGCTGCACGTTAACACCATTCACACAGAGCTGCTCACAAACTCAGAAATTCACATTAGCATAGGATAGGAAAAAGAAACAGAAAGTTTCTTTTGGAGACCCTTGAACAGTGTGTACAGACAACATTCAGAGCTACTGCCACAACATGAGAGCATTTCAGGCTGGTTACAAACATCTAACAGCAGTTACTGCAATAACACTGACAAATGTTCTTATGCTTTCCAAAATGCCTCCCCTTGCAAAGCTTTTAGTTCCTCATCATTAGAAGCTGTTCTTCACCTCGTTGTATCAGGTATAGCTCAGTATATTCTAACTTAGAGTAACCAATGCAGATTTCTAGAAGAGATGATGAAGATGGTACTTAGAACCTAATTGAAAATGCTACATTATAAATGCCATTATGAATCTGAAGAGATGTGCAATTGCACCACAAGTAATTTTGGTGTGCTTTCTTCATCCTGGCAACTTTCTTAATTGCATTACCAATGAATAAGTGAAAAAGCATCAAACTTCTAACCACAGAAGCAAACAGAATCAGGTCCACAAAGCCAGTAACAGCCCCCTAATAGAGGGTTCATATCTGTCCAGTGCAGTAGCCTAACACTGCCAATGTGCCACTAACCCTTCACTAAAGTGACAAAGTAGTTGAAAATGGTATGATCTGCTTTCACACTGCCTATGGAGACATATAAAACTTCACGATCTCAGTTTAAAGAGTTACAGCAATTTCTATAGAAGCAGCAGAAGTAAAACAGATCTCTTCACAAGATTTTTACTACTTAGAATCAATCAAAGCAAAACAGCCATCCTAGTGATAATCCCCTTTAGCACTTGACAGTTTATGCAATAGTCAATTACTAAAGAGGATGAAAGACAGAACAGTCTTTACAAATGGGTCACTGTCTATATTTATAAATGATTAAAAAACAGCCTGCTATTAAAAGTAACTTTAACGAGCATGCAAAGTAACATTAAATGGGAACAAATCTCCTCATGCACATATATATTCCATGTCTCCCACGACAGAAGAGAAGGTAACACTAACACTCATCCTCATCAGAGAAAGTATTTCAAGCAGGTTACGCATTAGCATGGCTGAAAGCAGATTTTAATTTCTGTCTGCAACTATTTTATACCAAAGTTGCATCTGCATATAAAGATAATCCCAAACCATCCTCGATGTGAGCTCTGAACACACCCACCCTTCCATCTCTGCACATCTTATCCAAAACTTGTTAGCAGAACTTACCTGCAAACACTAACCAAAAAGCCTTTTCAAAACCACTTTTAAACTTCTTCCCCTTTTGCTTCAACTCTTTGTTCCTAAGAAATTAGGTGTGCTTCTATATGTATGTTTTAGATAGGTCATTTCCTCTCCCCGCCAAGCTTCAGAAGAATTATTCAGGACTAAGACACATCACTCAGTCCTTTCAGTTGCTCAAGTGCTGTGCATCCTCTGTTACAAAGTCTCCCTCTTTCCCCTTGCTACATTCTCAAAGGATTATTTTCAGCCCTTCTGCTGGAATCACTACATCACACTCGGTACGACTGTCCTAAAATTTCATTGAGAAATCTCACTGATTCTCACTTAAGCACCATTAGCACACCTGTGATACTATCTGCATCCCTCTGATCCACTTCATTCAATTCCAATTCTGCTGGCAGTTACCATCTCTACCGGAGATTTAAATCTGGTGCAGCTGAAGTGTTTCCTCTCAGGCCCTGATTTCTCTAATTACCTCCAGCCTTCCTACAGCTCAAGCCTATAAGCAAACTGAGTGGCACCCAATACTGGGGATTTCTTTGTATAAGGGGTCAAAGAATTACTTTGTGCAAAGGATCAAGAGCATTCCATTACCCAATTATTTTTTTCTTCTCTTGAGGAGATCACTTGCCCACATCTTCAGTAGCAAATTCTTCTGTTCACATTGTCACCACTCTTATCCTTTACCTCCTATCAGATTGCAGACATTCAAAAAAATCCTTCCTTTATACAGTTTGTAGGAGACTGGATCTTCTGGCATTTCCTCTGCCCACAAATGTCTGAGTAGAAGACTGTTCAGCTACAAAACCTGCACTTTACTGGAAAGGACAAGTAGGACTATCTTGTGAGAATGAGGAACCTATCTTTTAGAAGAATCTCATTATAAGCAACTCCTCTGCAGCTCATACATTTGTACTCGGTGTACTGAGAAAACACTGAAGGTCGGGCTAGGAACAAGTAATTGCCACCACCTCCAGCTAAACCATCCTTCATTCCCACAGCTGAATGGAAAGCCTGAGTTCATGAAGCCAAGGACAAAAAAATCCCTCCCTTCCCCCCCCTCCAAAAAAAAAGTATGATCATTAAGGCCAATCTAGCCTCTAACGTTACAAATTAAGAAGAAAAAAACTGTAGTTTAGAATTTACTATAACTCAGACAGCATAAAACTGCATTTTGCAGCAGCAGAGGGAAAGAAGAGCCCCAGTCACAGTGCCTTGGGAAGCAGCACCCTGTTTGTGTGTGAAAACTGGGAACTTGATGTTCTCACTACAGACTAAAAGCAATAAAAACAGCTTTCTGAGCCATTAATTTCTGCACAGCTGATTTCTACTTAACACTGTTCATCATTGAAAGAATTATTAAAAAAAAACAACATGAAACTGTTCCAGAAGAGAAGGCTGGCACTCATATCTAAACTGAGCTAACAGTGACATCAGCATTACTACTGCTTTCATCTCTATGACTGCTGAATGACTAATATTTTTACTGTATTTCAAGAGCCTGTGATTGCACATGAGATGAAGTGACTCCACAGTTGTAAAATATGATGGCTGCAAGGTCTATCAAGCACCCAAGACAATGACCACAACAAGCTCTCAAGCTCTCCAGTTTGACTCCAGGAGTCAAACACTGCATGATTTTCCTACAGCTGGAACTTAACATTTTCATGATTTCTAACTTGAAGCATTGGGAAAACTTCCATCTTCAGACCTTCCATGTAACTCAGTGAAGGCTGTACCTGCATGCATACCTGTTCTGCTGATGGCCACGCTTACAAAGAGGTTTTCATGTTGAGGCAACATATTTGCAGGGTGGGATGGAGGCAGAAGATGAAGAGATTGTGTGTCACCACATCAATAGCCACAAAAATCACACGGAAACTGAACAGCTGGCCTGGATGGTTATTACTTTTTGCCAGAAGACACCCATGTAAAGTGAATTTCATCTACTTTAATTACAGAAGGTGCTGCATATTCAACACAGTAGAGGAGGCTGTCCTAATGCACCATGTAAATTTATGGTAACCTGTTTGAAGTAAAATTTATTTTCAAAGTATTCCTTAGTATTTTGTCATTCACCTGGAAATCAACTAATATGACAGCAGATGAGCTACTTCAGATGATTCTGAATTAAACGTCTAAGCATTATTTTATCCTTACAAGTTCTAAGCAGCTCGTATCACCTACAGTGAACATTCATTGGTTTTCTTCACTTTCTTTATAACAACCTTTACATTAATGAAGTGACAAATGTTTTTATAAATGAAGAAATTAAATTCAGTAATCTCATTTATTCCTTATTGTTTGCAGAAAAAAAGGAACAAGTGAAAGTAAAATTGTTTTAAGAGTAACAAATATTAAAGGCCTGAAAATCCATAACTACAGAAACTGACTTTCAAGAAAGAGGTGAAGACTAGAATAGAATATTTAAGAACTACTGATTCTGGCTACTTCAGTAACTGCATATAAACGTATGCGAGTTCATGACTGCATAAATCACTCAACCTGTATCTTTAGGATCTTCCCATACCCACTCATATTGGCTAAGCAATCTTAATTTGCCTTGTGTCTTATTAGTAAGTTGGTGCCGAAGCACAACTCTCTGTAGAAAGATTTTTATTTCTAAAGTCATCAAAGTTCATATGTATACCACCCTAAAGTGAGTTCTGACTGTGGCAAATAAGTGACCAGTTTGTACTCAGGCTACTTAAACAAAGACTAAGGAAAAAGCTGACTGCAACTAGCACAATTACCCTCCTCTGGTTTAAAAAAAACAAAAAACAAAAAAAAACAAGAAGTGAGTTACTGCAGTAGGTTCCCTTCCTCTAGAAGACAATATAACCCAAATTCAGTGTTATCTCAAAACAATAAGGCAATGTTTCTGTAACATTCAATCATAGGACGATGTGAATAGAAACAATCCTCAAACCTCTGGGATATCAGAGCTATTCACACAACACTTTAGACTTCAATAGCCAGCTGATGCTGAGACAAGACAGTGGTACTTACAACCTCTGTTTATTATGAAAAAATAAGAAAAAGAAAACTTAAGACAAATAGTTATGGTAATAAGGGGAAGGAAGAATTAAGAAAACACAAATCTACAGAAACTGTTTTTTAAGCTTACCTGCGCTTGCTCAGTGGAGCTGCTACTGAGTTCATCTCCAGATTCTGAATCCTGGTGAATTTTTTCTGAGCCTTCTCCTGCCGAATCACAAGACTGTTCATGCAAAAAGCTGGTCTTCTCTATTTCCAAGAACTCTGGACATGGGAAATGACCCATGGAGATGGTTCGAAACTGATTGGAAACCTTGGGAGATTGCAACTCATTGTTTAGTTTTCCATTGTTCTGAGTGAGGTCCAGACTCACACCAAGAGTTTGACCAGGGCTATTGTTTGGTCCCAGATTTTGATTGGCATCTCGAACTAAGCAAGACACTTGAACTGGAGAAGATTTTCCAAAACTAGAAAGCTCTGGTGACTTATTCACATTTTCTGTCGATCTCTGTAATCCATGCGTTAACTTTAAAGCATTATTTGGCAGCATGCCTGCTTGCTTAACAGGTGGCATCAGTGCTTTCCGTGGTATTTCCTTCACATACTGTGCTGGCACGTAAAAGGGTTTGGAATTTTCATCCCTTTTCACTTGCCACCAGTCATCATTAGTCTTCTTCACTAATATATATTTCTCCCCCTGTTTAATTACAATTTTCTTGTCCTTGGCCTCATACTCATAGTCATACTCCACTTCAATGTATAATTGTCCTGGAAGGATCTTCGCACTCCTATCAGCCATCTCCACCCAAAGAAATTTCACCTTTTCCGGCAAACACTTTGCCACATTCTGCTTGGGAAGCGTTTGTTTCCTGTTCACAATCAGAGCTGCAATAAAAAAAGAAAATGATGTCTATACGATGAACTGTCCGAGAGCACTTCAAAGGAAAATAATTTCAAAAATAATGTTGTAGACTCCACTTATGTCAACCTCAGTCAAACACATTAATAAATTAAAGACTCTCAGATACTTTTCACAGCAATAAAACAAAGCCAACACTACAACAGAATCCCTGATTTAAGTCCCATATTCTCACAAGCCTCTTGCTATCAAGCTACCCGCTAAGCCTGTTGTTGCTACAACTAAGTGACGTTAGTCATCATTGAGGGCTTGGTGGGAGGACTAGTTTGAGTCTCTCTTGCTTATATACAGGCTTAATTTCTTAATAAACTGCCATTATTTTGGTTTTAATCAAAATATTTAAAAGGAGATTATGATTTGTTTACTTTGCGTTATCCTTCAGTTCAAGAGTCACTTCAGAGCACTGAGAATTCCTTACAAAATCCTTCATTCTTCCTCCAGTGCTGCATCCCAGCTTAGGACAAGCTGGCTATCCCAGACCCACGCACTGTATGTAGCCCCTGCCAACCTGTGCTGAGATGCAAGAGCTTGGAAGCAGTGCAGTGCATGGGCTTTGCTGCCCCTGCATCTGGCCAGGCGTTAGGACTTCTGAATTTCTTCTAGAAATTGCTAGCATAATATAATATTAAAAAGTATTTCAAGTTTCCAAAATACTGTGTCCTTAGTGGTTTAAATTCTAAATGTTTACTTTGCTCTTAAGAGAGACCTTTGAGCAATATTTATGTCATAGAAAACCTGATTTGCACCTGGTAAGCATTAAAAATAAAAAAAATACATTAGAAAGAATAATAATTATTAAGGACGATGAATCAAAACCAAAAATGGATACTCAATAAAGCAATATTATACAGAATCATAGAAACATTTAAAGGTCCCTTCCACCTCAAATGATTCTATGATTCTTAAAAGGCCATCTGGTCCAACTCCCCTGCAGAGAACAGGGACGCACAGCCAGATCAGGGCACTCAGAGCTCTGTCCAGCCTGGCCTTCAGTGTCTCAGAGGATTGGGCTTCAGGACATCTCTGGGCAGCCTGTTCCAGTGCCTCACTACCCTTATTGTTATTGTTTAAAAAACGCCTTCCTTATTTCCAATCTAAACGTTCCCACTTTTAGTTTGAAGCCATTTCCTCTTGTCACAGCAGACCCTGCTAAAGGATACCTTTATTTCTTACAGCCCCCTGTAGATACTGACAGGCCGCTCTCAGCTTTCCCCAGAGCCTTTCCTTCTCTAGGCTGCACAGCCCCAGCTCTCCCAGCCCATCCTCACAGGGGAGGTGTTCCATCCCTTGGATCATTTTTGTTGCCCTTCCCTGGATGCACTCTAACAGGTCCATGTCTCTCCTGCACTGAGGACTCCACACCTGGACACAGTGCTCCAGGTGAAGTCTCAAAACAAGAATGTATGAAAACATAGCATTTAGACTTACAGCACCTTCTAGCATAGCCAACTACCACTGTTCCCATATCCACAAGATGCAGTTTCTCCTCTACTTAATCACCTAACACCACAATTGGTGAGTTGGTAAAGACCAGTCTTAGCAACTTACAAGAAAAACAGCTTAATAAAGGAATATGAAAAAATACAATTTCTTAACCTTCAAGGAAAAAAAAATCAAAGTTGATAAGGGTGAGATCTCTAACATTCAAAAAGCATTTAGAAGAATCCATGTAAAAGCTGCTGTATTAACCTCAAAGACTAACAAAAAAGTAAAAAAAAAAAAAAACAACAACACATGAATGACAAAAACAATTCAGAAATTTGCTGCTCTGCAAGTTGAGACTTCATGATGAGACCAACATTGTTTACCCAGTAACTCAGTGGAACAAATGCAATTCCATGCAGGCACACAGATGCAGACCATAATAGGGACTAAGTGCAAAAACAACAACAAAGGAGACTTGTGAAGAGAGCAGAAGCAAAAACGCCTAACAGTTCTGCAGTTTTCCTTCCACCATTTTGGCTATTCAAGCTGATCCTCAAATACATGATATTTCCCATTTAACTCTGTTGAAGACAACACCTGAAAGTCCAACTACAAAGCTTAGAAACAATCGCCTTGTTTAAATCATGTCCTTCTTTCTCCCAGAGACCATTTCTACATCCAGGTCGCATTTCCTACAGGTAGCCTTAAAGCCACAGTTGTTTACAAGACTCTAAATGGAGTCACAAGATTAGGCTTACAATATTATTAAAGGACTTGGCAGAAAGAAAGATGGTGCCACACGCAAACAAAGCTGGCAGTAAGAGGAACGCAAAGAGTAGAAAATAATGCTCAGATTGTCTGCAATGGGTTTCCTCCCCCCTTTTTATTCTCTCCCCCATCAAACAGCACCCTGACATTTGCAGCACCGGAGCTAATTTACAGTCTGAGCACAAAACACCCAGCCCACCTGCCGTTCAGCACAAACAGGTATTTTTAAGTGCAGCCCTGCATGTGTTAGCAATTCCAACAGCAGGTAAACATGCCCACATTGCAGCCTTCCCCCCTCCCATACAAAATGATATTTTCTTCCTTGTAACCAAATCCGACTCCTCCCAGCACTTCCCCAGCACTGCTACCAATCACAGCTTCAAGGTCACAGACCAGAAAAACACAAGTGACTCTGAGCTACAGGCTACCATGAAGGTATGCTGCCTTGGAAATGAAAATTTAGGAAGACAGCCCACTCACACTGCTTTTCCTTCTCCCATACAGAAGGAAAACAAAAGAACACACAGCCATGGTTTCCCACAGGGCTACCAAGCGTTTAAAGGCTTGACATTTTCATTCTCTTGCCTACTTCACGTAACTATTTAGTGAAAAATGCATGCTAAATGTCTTTTCAAGATAGATATGCCCAGTATAAGCTGTATTTTATGCTTTAAAAAGTTAATAGGATTTTAAGAAACAGAAGCTATAAAATACAATAGCTACAAAAATAGTTTTGTTAGCTCAGCCCTTTGCCACTAAGAGAAAGACACATATTTCTGTTCTTCCAGCCAAGCTGCAAAATTATCAAGTCAATAGCAAACATTTGGTAACATCAAACACACGATCAAAAAGAAATCAGTTGCATTCTGTGGCAGGCCAGAACACTAAGACAGTTGTATAAACAGCTCATCATCAGGATCAAGCAAGGCTCTGCTCCTCCGCCTCCACAGAGCTAAACACCCAAGGCACAGGTGGGAAAGCTTCCTCACTGCTCAGTTAACGTTAACACTTCTGGTTTGCAGCCAACTACTGTTGTGGTCCCTGCAGCCCAGGGGTCAGCACTTGGGCTGTCCTCCTGCAGAGTCACTGCCAACCTGCAGCAGACACACAGAAACTGGGACACTGTGCACACTGATGCCATGGGGTGACTTTGGTGCTACAAATCAACAACTGCAGTCACACTGTGGGACAGGCCTTGTAGACCCTTTGTGCTTTCTCTCTAACTATTACTGATAAGGCTGGATGACAGCACAAAAATGAGATTTACTTCCACAGAGGACATCTGCAACCTTCAATATCTTAAATGAGGTCTTCATACCTGGACAGGATTGAAAAGTGGGCCCACATGAACCTAAAAAGTTCAACAAGGCCAAGAGCAAGATGTTATAGCTGGGTCAGAGCAATCCCAGATTACATGTGCAGAATGGGAGAAGAACTCACTGAGAGCAGCCCTGTGGAGAAGGACTTTAGAGTTCCAGTGGATGAAAAGCTGGACATGAGCCAGCAGTGTGCAACCAGAATGCCCACTGCATCCTGGGCTGCATCAGAAGAGGGGTGGCCAGCAGGGTGAGGGAAGAGACCATCCCCTTCTGCTCTGCACTTGTGAGGCCCCATCTGCAGTACTGTGCCCAGGTTTGGGGCCCTCGGCACAAGGACATGGAGCTGTTGGGGCAGGTCCAAAGGAGGGCCACAAAGATGATCGGAAGACTGCAGCACCCCTCCTATGGAGAAAGGTTGAGGGAGCTGGGGTTGTTTAGCTTGGAGAATGGACACAGGAACCTCACTGTGGTCTTCCAGCACCTGAAGGGAGCTTACATGCAGGAAGGAAATCAACTTTTTACATGGTATGATAGTGACAACAAACAGGGAAATGGCTTTAAACTAGAAGAGAGGAGATTTAGGTTAGCTGTTAGAAACAAATTCTTTACTCAAAGGGTGGAGAGGCCCTGGCATTGCTGCCCAGAGAAGCTGTGGGTGCCCCTTTCCTGGAGGGGCACAAGGCCAGGTTGCATGGAACCCTGGGCAGCCTGAGCTGCTGGGTGGGAACAAACCCATGGCATGGGGATGAAAGTGATGGTCCTTGAGGTCCCTTCCAGCCCCAGCTGTTCTATGATTCTTAGAATGTCTGTATAACAGATAAAGAACAATGAATGAACCCCAGTGACAACAAAAACATGGGAAAATGTCTTCATGAATACAACAACAACAAAAAAAGGAAGATTCAGACCACATTTTTAGAAGTGAAACCCAAATGGTACTGAGTAACTAATTTAAGGTGGGCCACATGCCCATGAGGAAATACATTAATAGAATCATAGAATGGCCTGGGCTGAAATGGACCACAATGACCATCTAGTTTCAACCCCCTGCTATGTGCAGGGTCACCAACCACCAGACCAGGCTGCCCAGAGCCACATCCAGCCTGGCCTTGAATGCCTCCAGAGATGGGACATCCAAACCTCCTTGGGCAACTGTGCCAATGCTTCACCACCCTCTATGTGAAAAACTTCCTCCTGCTATCTAACCCAAATCTCCCCTGTCTTAGTTTAAAACCATTCCCCCTTGTCCTGTCACTATCCACCCTCATAAACATTCACACAGAGCACATTTGCCATAGCACACAAGCTCCCACCAGCTGCCTACCAGCACAGAGATAGGCACCAGCCCAGCCCCAGCCATGCTGACAGAGGCACTGGGTCAGGGATCTCACAGATCTCCTCTGGCACAGAGCTCCCAGGCTCCGCTTCCGATGGGACCTGCTCCCGATGGAACTGTTCCCAGCCCTTACTCAGCAAAGGCTGCACAGGGCCAGCACCCGCTGTTTGCTGAGGTCAGCCCCACCCTGCTGCTGCCCGCACCCCTCCGACACTTCCTCAGGGTGGGAGCTACATGCAAAGCTCAGCAGTCCTCTACGCCAGCCCGAGTCTAGCTTTGTTACTAATACAAGATTATATTTGCACACTTCCAAACAAACTGGGATCTTTTCTAATCAAACCTGAATAACTGCAACAGCAACTTCAGCCCTTCTTGGAGTGGTTTGTTCAGGTATCTCCTTACTTCAGCAGGAAACCTTTTTAGTGCAGCTGAAACCCTACAGCATCACCCACTAAAAGCACTCAGCCCTCGCTGATCCCAAAGTGCAAATAACTAGGAAGGGAGGGAAGCATGGTCCATGGATTGGAGCCTATAAAAATCATAGTATGTACATATTATATTAGCTATGGTCACTCCCCATTCCGGCATTATCTCAAAACGCAATGGGAAATACAAATCAGGAGGTATACAGCAGGAATTCCCCACCTCCCCTCAGTTTATCATCCACAGTATTTTCTTCTGATCTTCTATAACCAGGTAATGAAGGCAAAAAGTTTTTTGGGTTTCTCTCTTTTTCTTTATATTCCTCCTGATGGGAAAAAACAACAAAAAAACAAACAAACAAGAAAACCATCCTTACTGTGATTTAGGAATTATTTACTTAATAATACAAACAGATCTCAGTTATTAAACGCAGAGCGCTGCAGATCTCAGTTCTCTCTTGTGACCTTGCTCCCGTGTCCCACCAAAGAGCATCAGTTGCCTCGTGCAGCCTTTTCTCCATTTTCAGCATCAAACTTCACCCCTTACTGACACGAAGCCTCCTGCGGTGCCGCTACAGAAATAAACTCAATCGCCAGCGCTGGATCGGGATGATTTCCTATTGGTTCGGGCCGACAGCCCGCCGGGTTCCGCGAGCGCTCCCCCGGGGCGGCGTCCTCAGCAGCTCAGCGCGCACCCGGCCGCAGCTCACGCCGCTCTGTCCCGCCCTGCACACCTCCATGCCGCGCTGCCCTCGCCGAGCCGCTGCCCGGCCGCCCCCGTAGGCACCGCGTGTGCGTGCAGCGCTTGGACGGAAACGGGCGCAAAGATGCAAACGCGAACAACAAATCGGCCCCAACGGGCGAGTTTGAAGCTTTTAAAAGCGAGCTTAATCCCCGTTTGCTCGAGTTAGCAATCCGCTGCTACTGCAACGTAAAGTGGCTTCCCCGAGCTCGGACTTCCTTAAAAACTAAAGGCTTAATCAGTAACCACGCAGCGCTGCTCGCTGCTCCCTGACTCACGGCAGGCGATGCCCGGCCAGCAACTGTCAGCGCACCTCGCGGGGCCGCTCCGCTCCGTCCCGCGGTTCACCCCCGGCCCCGCCGCCCCCCGCAAACGGTCCCGCCGCCCCGGGCCGCCCATCGGCGCCGCTCGACTAATTCAAAGGCAGCCGCAGCCCCGAAGAGGAGGGGGTGGGCGGGGGGCGAGGCGGCGGCGGCCCCGGCAGCGCGGCCCGGGGCCCCTTTGTTCGCGGAGCGGCCACCCAGGTGAGGCGGTCGCATAAGGCGCTCGGCCCGGCTCGGGCCGCCCCCGGCGCCGCGCGGCCCCCGGCAGCGCCCAGGTGCGCGGCCGCGCCGAGCCCGCCCCGCCCGGGGGATGGCGGCGGGGGCCGGGGAGGGGGCGCGGCCGCGCTCTCGGCCCGCCTCAGGGCAGCCGCCCGCGACGCCG